CAACAAATAATATTAATAATAGCTAATGTTTACTGAGTACCTTCCATGTTTCAGTCTAAGCCCTAAGCACTTAAGCACGTTTTATTTTATTTAGATCTTCTGACACCCATGAAGTAGGTGTGATTATTGGCCCCATCTTACCAATGAGGAAACTGAAGTACAGCTAAGTTAAATAAACTTGCCCAAGGTCTCACAGTGGGAAGTCGAGCTGGGAGGGTAGGAGTTAGCCATTTTAAGAGATAATAGAGAGAAGAGTGTTCCAGTAAAGGGAACAGCAATGAAAAGTCACAATGTGTTCCAGGAAATAAGGACAATTCTTTGACTAAAGATTCAAGTGGAGGGTGATGGGATATGAATGCTGTGGAGAAAAGCCCAGGCTGGATTGTGAAGGATCTGGTGAGCAGCATTGATTTGTTCGGTTGTTAGTCAGAGCCGTGAGCAAGTTAGCTTATTTATTTATTTTTAAAGAAAACTTCATTATTATGTTATTTTTTATTATTTATTACTATGTTTATTTTAGTTTATTTTAAATGTTAACATATTTATTACTATGTTTTTATGGAAAAGTTTCAAACATTGTATTTATTAATGATGTTATGTGCTACTATGTGCCATAATGCTTATCAACCTTTGCCCAAGTTTATTTCAAATATACTCTCCTGTGCAAGCCCTTTCAGGATTATTTTGAACAAATTTAAAATACACATCATAATCGTCACCTTTAAATACTTTTGGTTTGGATTTCTCAGTGATTGGGGTTCTTTTTCTTCTCTTTTCTTTTCTTTTTTTTAATTTTATTTTTTTATATTTTAAAGCCTAACTATAGTACCATTATCACATCTGAACAAAATTAACAGAGTCCCTGTATCATTGGTATGGAAGCAGAGGGAGGAAAGACAGGGAGGAGGGTGTGATCTAGGAAGGACCTAAGAGGGACCCAACACGGCTGTGGCACAGGGGGTACGATTGGGGCGTTGCCCAGATTTCTGCCTTGGAGTTCTGGGAAAACGGTGATGTCCATCACTGAGATGGGGGAACATAGGAGGAAGAGCAGGTGTGGGGCGGAAGATAATGAGTTCAGGTTCAGAATGTTACATCTGAAAG